TCAGTGCCCTCAAGCTTCTGGGCCTCAAATTCCCCCGGGAGGGGTGTAGACGGGGAAGAACCAGTGTTGGTAATGTCATGGGAACTGAGCTCTAAGAAGGAGACATTGTCCTCGAAAATCCTTCCCTTTCGAGATATTGGGAATTAACTGTCTCTTCCAAGGGCGGCGCCCATGCTGTTGGTGGAGGTGGAAGGTCAGGAAGGTAGGTTGGGTGGCTGGATTTGCTGGAAGCTTGTGACCTGAGGGCTGTGGCCTTGGAGGCCAGCCAGCTACCCAGCTGTGTATCTGTGTGGCCCAGTGGGCAAGGCTGGCGGGCGGGCCGTGGGTCTGGCCGTCATCAGCACTGTGCTTCTTACAGCCCTCCCTGCTCTGCAGCCCTACTCCCCGTCTTGAGGATGGCAGCGGTTCTGGCCTATCCGATAGTGAGGAGAGCGTGTTCTCAGGCCTGGAAGATTCTGGCAGTGACAGCAGTGAGGAATCCTCTGAGAGCGAAGATGGGGCCAGCAGTGGAGAGAGCCATGGCGGGCTGGAGAAGACCTCTGGGCAGCAGGTGCAGGTGCGTGAGCGGGCCCCTGGGGGCTCTCACCTCCAGATGAAGGTGGCCCAACAAGAAGCGCCTGAGCTCTCTGGGGGCGCTGCCCACTCGCCGCTTCCTCCAAGTTCCTTTAGGACCTGCAGGCCCTCGTTCCGCCTCTGATACACCTGGGTCACACTTGGGACTTGGTGGGACACTTGTTTGCAGCTGAGTTGCTGTGAGTTCTAGGGCACTGGATTTCAACCACACTCATGGGCTCCATTCACTCTGGAAATCCTCATGCCTGGGCCTCCCCTCAGGTGACTCCTTTTTTTACTGTATGTTTTTAGCTTTTTTGTTGAAAATTATTTGCTCATATAAATATGGGTTTACCTCTGGACTGTCAATTCTATCCCACTTGTCCATGTGTCTGTTTTTCTGCCAATACCATACCGTTTTGATTACTGTCACTTTGTAGTATAATTTGAAGTCGGGCAGAGTGATGCCTCCAGCCTCGTTCTTTTTTCTTAGGATGGCTTTGGCAAATCTCACCCCCTTTTTTCCACATGTTCCTTCAAAGCCATCTGCATCCTCCGCCTGGCTGGGCCACCCCTGTTCACGCCTCTCCTGGGTGCGCTGAGTCCCATCTCCACCCAGCCCCGGTGGTGGGAACGTAGCCAGCAGGCTGGTCACTGCCTCCTGCTCGTGCTCCTGTCTTCCTTTGAGCGTGGCCGCATAAGGCACCAGGAGTGACCTCCATGACAGCTCTGCCATGTGCTGTGTTGGTGGCCCCTGGTTAGGCCTGCTCCTCTCTTGTCCTGGAACCAGTCGAGGGTGGCTTGCTTGCGTGGGACCTCTCTATCGCGTGGGGGAGGTTGGGGCCCTCTCAGTTTCTTTTAGTCGACCTGTACCTGCTGTAGCTGGTGGCTTGTCACATGTCACACCATGGAGGCTTCTGCTTAGACGTTCTCTCTGGGGGAGGGTCCTCAACGCAAGACCCCCTTCCATTGCGCAGCCTTCCCACCACAATAAGCTCTACGAACCTGTGCCCGCGGTGACACCTGCTTCTGCTACATCTCTGCCATGTCCCAGCTTTTTAACTGGACGCCCACAGGATTCTGTGGCACATGGCCACGGCCTCTTGCGCAGTCCTACAGACAGTTGGTGGTGTTACGTGCGCAGGTGGAAGTGGCATTTGCCGGGTCTCCTGGGAGCCAGGTGACTCCTGGGAGGAGAGTGAACGGCCTCCCTGCTCTTCCGTCACTGCCTCTCTGGGCCCAGCCCTCACCAGGCTGCCCCAGCCACCATGCTCGCTCACAGGTTTCTGCTGACCCCTGCCGTCGCTGTCATTCTTTTCCTCCACGTTCTGTTGGCCAGACATGTCCCCTGTGACCTTCCTACCAAGGGTGGGTGGGCAGGCCCCCCTTGGCCTCTCTGCTTCTCGTGTCCAAAGGGCACCCTGCCATACTGTCAGGCTTCACGTTTACACGAAGTCAAGGATGTGGCTTCTGAGGCAAGAGCCAGCAGGGAGGGGGCCTAACGGGCATGATTCCTTGGGCCTGACTCCCTGGAGCGGGCTGCCCCAGCTCAGGCTCACTGATCCAATGACAAGTGGCCGAGGTCCCCACAGAAGGGAGCTGCCTTGTTTGCTTCATTAGCTGGCGGTTCTGTGGCTGGTAGGTCACCTGTGGGTGCCAGGTGTTTGATGCAGGCTGTCCCAGACACACCAGGAACACCCTGCTAGAGGCATTCCATGGAGAAGGGCCCTCTGATGGCCAGGTGGCCGTGGCACGTTCCTGTGGACACTGGCTGGGCCTCTGCTTCCCTGCCCACAGTGGGGATGGCCGGACCCCGCCTGTGTAGCATGTCTCCCCGGGCCCTCCCACGGGAGCACCTGTCTGCGGTGGCCCCCACGGCCCTCCGCGCTCTGCTGAGGGACCTCGTGGTGCCAGCAGCTCTTGGAGCTTCTGGGTCGTTTTTAGTTGTGGGTGGCATCTCCGCCTGAGGCGCCCGCTTCCCTCTGCCGACCTGCCTGTGGGTAGCTGCCCTCGTTTCTCCCTGGGCGACGGAAGAGCCCCTTGTTCCCTCTGCGTGCTCCCCTCTGTGGGGAGAGCCACACCCATGGGACCGCCCGCGTTCTCGGCGCTGGTTGCAGCTGAACGCAAGAGCGGCTCAGGTGTATGTAGTCGGTCCTGTCAGGGCTGTCCCCAAGTCAGGTTCCCATTTCCCTTCCTGTCCTGTTGGTCACTGGCGTCAGAAGCTGTGTGGACGGCCCGCCCCGCGCGTGCCCTGGGCCCGAGCCTGCGGCTGCAGAAAGCGGAGGTTGTCCCTGCGGGCCCCTCCGGTCCTTTTTCCCGAAGTCCCTTCCCTCCTTTTCCCTTGCTTGGCCCGGCGGCGCCACACAGCCCACCCCGGCGTTCGGTTGCGAAGTTGGGAGCTGAGGTGAGGAAGAGCATGGTGCACCTGGGCTGCAGGTGGGCCGTCAGGGGAGAGGACCCCGCCGGGCGGAGGAGTCCGAGGGAGGGTCCCTCGCATGGCCGCGTGCGCAGTGGGAGGGGATCCCTCCCTCTGCTGGAGCCATCTCGCCCTGTCTCCTCCCCTCTGAGCACCACCCCTGTCTCCAGCTCCCTCTCTTCCAGCCCCTCGGGACTGCAGCTGTTTTTTGTCCCTGTCCTTTGTTGCCTTGTTGGCCCGAGTCCCTGTCCACCAGGCCAGTCACCCCGTCTCCTGGCCATACTGCAGCCCCTGCCTCTCAGACTCCTGACAGTGTGTCTGCAAGCCTGCCCCGTCCCCAGCAGCAGAGAGGAGCCCTGCTGTGCTCCCCGCTGCTGGCTGTCCCTCCCC